CACCCAGGATAACCCCCCTCTTGACTAACTCAAAGCCAACTGAGTAGGGGCCTTAATTACATCTGCAGGGTCCCTTCATCTTTGTCATGTAAAGTGACCTCCACCCTACTCGCAGGTCTGCCACACTCAAGAGGAGGGGATTATCCGGGGTATGCACACCAGTAGAGGGGGATCTTGGGGCCCATCTTAGAATTCTGCCTACTGCAACAATATAGACAGGCTAAAAGTAAAAGAATGGGGAAAGAAATACCATGAAAATGTTAACAAAAAGAAAGCTGAATGGCTACATTAATAGAAAAGTAGTCCATAGAGCAAGGAATGTTGTCAAGGATAAAGACAGACATTACACAAGGACAAACGTGTCAATTTACCAGGAAGACATAACAATCCTAAAAATATATGCACCTAAAATGGAGCTTCAAAATACATGAAGCTAAAACTAAACAAATCAAAAGGATAAACAAACAAATCCAAAATTATACTTGGAAACTTTATTTATTTATTTTTTCCCCCCAAAGCCCCAGTAGATAGTTGTATGTCATAGTTGCACATCCTTCTAGTTGCTGTATGTGGGACGCGGCCTCAGCATGGCCGGAGAAGCAGCGCGTCGGTGCGAGCCCGGGATCCGAACCCGGGCCGCCAGCAGTGGAGCGCGCGCACTTAACCACCAAGCCACGGGGCCGGCCCTATACTTGGAAACTTTAAACCTCCTTTCTTAGTAATCAGTAAAACACATAGGCAGAAAATCAGTAAGAATACAAAAGGTGTAAGACAATACTTTTCCCTTAAGGTCAGGAAAAGGCCAGGATGTCCATCCTTTCCACTCCAATTCAACATCACAATGGACATCCAACCAGTGAAACAAGGCAAGGAAAAGAAATAAAAGTCATACAAATCAGAAAGGAAGTAATAAAGCTCTTTATTCAGAGATGATATGATTATCTATTTAGAAAATCCCAGAGAGTCATGAAAAAAAGATATTCGAGGACTAACAAATTAGCTTAGCAAGGTAGGAGAATGCAAGGTCAACACGCAAAGATCAATTGTATTTCTGTATACTAGCAATGAACAATTGGAAACTGGAATTAAATCATCAGTACCATTACAATAGCATTAAAATCATAAAAACTACTTTGGGATAAATCTAAGATTTTTATGCTGAAAACTACAAACATTGATGAGAAAAATCAAAGAAGACCTAAATAAAGGGAGAGATATACTATGTTCATGGATAGGGAGATTCAGTATTATTAAGAGGTCAATTCTCCCCAATTTAATCTACAGAGCAATGCAATCCCAATCAAAATCTGAGTGGAGTTTTTTCTAGACATTTACAAGCCATTTTTAAAATTTATATTAAAAAACAAAGAACCAAAACTACTTTGAATAAGAAAAAATTGGAGGATACACAGTCCCTGATTGCAAGATTTACTATAAATCTACAGTCATCGTAACTGCAAGGTATTGGTGAGGGTTAGACACACAGATCAATGAAACAGAATAGAGAGTCCAGAAATAGACCTATGCAAATATGATCAATTAATTCTTGGCAAAGTTACAAAATAATTCAATAGAGAAAGGATAGTCTTTTCAAGATATAGTGATGGAAAATTGAACATCTATTTGTAAAAAAAAAAAAGTGAATCTTGATGCCTCACACCGTATACTGAAATTAACTTTGTGATTTTCTGAATGACATTTCTCTACTCTGGGCCTCAGTTTTCTTATCTCTAAAATGATGGGAAAAAAGAAGAAAAAGAACAATTCCAGATAAACTCTGAGATCCTTATAGCTCTCACCTCCTACAGCTTGTCCTTCTTGCCTTTTGCTTTCATAAAACTCATTTATTCACTGGGTTAAACTTTCAAATGATCAACGTGTGCATGCAAGTCTCCCTGAGGCTAATGACAGCAGAGGCTGTGCGTGTCACAGAAAAGCTGCAGCAGGTCGCGGCCTCTTATGACTTCTTATGTTATCACTGAACGGCTTCCAGCACCTCGTGTGCAAATCAACCCCCTTCACCCTCTCTGCAGAGGAATCGGTTTTCCATTCACTTTTTATCCTTGCCCAGTGCTGTGCTTCCCATTCTCTGAAGAACAAAATATGAGTTCACTTTTCCTTTAGATAAAGGCAATTCGCTAACACAGGTGGTCACCCCCATTACCAGGTGAATTTAGGATGAACTCTGTGTCACAAGTGGTGCCATCAAGTCCTCTTACTTGAGGACAAGTTACGGTTTGTCTCGAGACCATGCGTGTGGTGGGCTGCATCTGCTGGGCTGTGTAACAGGATGAGATTTCTTTGTCTTTGCAATCTCTTTGAGGATTGCCGGGGACGTGCATCACACTCTGCTTTAGCGCTTGTTCAATGATAAAACCGTCTTCTTTCTCTTCTCTTTTGGTGGAGAGGTTTCCTGGATTGGCAGGAGATTTAAGTTATTCTCCCCAACAAATCTTGGACAATTATTATTATGTGACTCTAAGCCTAACTTCCAATGTCAACAGAAAGGAATCTGGAGATTCTCTGGGACAAGACTGGCCCGTGCCTAAGCCCACATTGTGTTCTCCATCTGGCTTTGCAATGTAAGTGTTTTAAGTTCGTTGCTCTGGCCTTAAATGTGCAATCAGTCGACAAATCGAGGAGCTAGAGCCCTGCTCCCAGCCCCCACCGAATAAACCCACACATAAGCTCCATTCCTGGTAAGTCTGCATAGGGCTGGTCTGTCAGATGGCACAGAAGGGGCAGGCAGCACACGGGGCCTGGCGAGCTCTTCAAAGTCAGTCCTTAGCGTTGTTCTTCCAGGTCCTCTGTGGACCAGCAGTGCCCTTCGGTGAGCAGGAATCGGTAAGGTAAGCAGGCACATTCTAGAAGCAGAGCCTTGAGAAGGGGCCTGGAGAGTTGGGCGGAGCAGGTGCACCTGCGATGGGTGCTGAGGGGAGCGGCTCGTGCCCCACAAGAACTTTCCAGTGTCACAGGCGGCGTTTCTCAACCTGGGGGATCCGCCATTGCCTTCTTAGCCTCTTCCTCCAAATATTGCTTATTGTAACAAGTCATGAAAAGGAAATGGGAGGGGGCATGGCGGTCCGTTAAGGGGTACGCGCACGCCCGTGCACTCGCTGGTCTCCGGCTCCTGTTGGCAGCGGTTTCGCCGCCAACCCCGAGGGGCGTGTCCTCGGCTGCGGGGGGCGGGGGGCGCGCTCCATAATCGCCTTTTTGCCGCTTTCCCTGCTGCTGTGTCCTGGAACGTTCGGCTTCACACGCGGTTCTTCCTTCGCTGCACCCGCCCCGCTGCCCTCGGCGGCTTCCTGACGCGCAGACCCGCCGAGCGCCGAGCCCGCCGCGCCGCGCCGGGTAAGGGGACCCGGGGATGGTCCCAGCGTCTTTGGGGGGCTGAGAGCCCACGGTTTAGTCGCAGCTACTGATTTCTGGTGTGATCTCGCAGAGGTTGCCGTACTTCTCTGTTCGCCCGGCAGTGAAAGGGGCCGACGATGGTGAGCGTTATGGGCAACAGCAGATTTCTAGCGGGTGGGAAACAGACTTGGGAACCACTCGCCCTGTGTTCACAGCCCCTTACATTCCACAGTGCTGCAGTCTTTTCCGTCTCATCGCCTGCTTCTTAGCCCATTTGATCTTCATGAGACTCGCAGGGATTCGTAAAGCTGGACTAATATTCTCCTGCCATTTGACAGATGAGAAAACTGAAACTCCCAAGGTGCCCAGGCGAGATGAGGGCATGCTTCTCAGTTTTACCCTCTTAACTTCTCATATCCCCATCTCCACCCCATCCCCCGCCCAAGCCCTTACATTCGCTGCGTCCCAGAGAGGCCTGGGAGTGCGGAATGGACTCTTAGAGCTCCATAGGGCAAATGCGCGATCATTATTTTCCCACCCCCAACGAGCCACGTGTTCCAAACGAGACCCCTCAGTGGATTTTGTCTTATGACCTTGATCTTATGGAAACCACTCCATTCTCCCCTTCATGCCCCACACCTTTCCTATGACACGATGTAGGACTCTGTGGCAAACAGACTCATGTTCAGGGCGAATGGGAACAATCCCTTTGTCCGCTAAACCTTATAGGAGAGACGTGTCACGAAATCACAATGACTAAACTGCAAAACAAGTGACTCTAATACCAGGAAATATAGAGAAGGGGGCAGATGAGTGAAGGAGAGACTTATGAACAAGGCAGACAAGAAATATTTTTACCTTTCCTAAAACAGCATTAGAGAGCCTGCTTTCTCATGGTTTGATAAAATAAGGTATTGTCATGATGAAATCAGGCTCATATAATTGTAAAATCAGAGTGTCCATTATGTTCACTTGCTTCAGCCTCCTGCTTAAGCTGGAGCCTCTCACTGTCCTGTCAGATGCTCTTATCATCTCTGCTTGCGTGCTCACTGCTGCTGTCTCATGACTCCTGGCCCCATTTGGGGGAAGATTAGTAGAATTTTTCTTTTGGAGGGGAACTCTGCCTCCATTCTCAGTTCTCTCGCTTTTTCTGCTCTGAGACTGACACCTGCCACACTCCTTCAGGTCTACAATGCTTCCCCCAGGCTTTCCCTGGACAGGACTTGATTCGGTCCTGTTAATATTTTTTCTGTGATTCATTTGAGCATCTCCATCAATATCCTGTCTGACTTGCCTCTGGACACTTTATTATTTGTTAATATCTGCCTAAAAATCTATTCCTCAGTGCCACACATGTCTCCTCCTGCAGGCTGACCCACTCAAGAGATGGTTCAGGAGAACTCCTGCCCTGCACCTCGGCTCCTGTAATCTGAGTTAGATTGGCTTTTTGTGACAGCCCCATTGCTCCATTTGGGTCACACTGATAATTAAGGCAAAAACACCAGATTGTTTTAAACTGAAATATGTCAATTCAGAGCAACTCCTGCCGCCTACAATTTTATCTTTGGATTTTTTTTCCTTTGGAAAAATATGCATTCAAGATTTTGCAAAACAGTTCTCTGTTGGTTTTAGGGCAGGCTTCCAGCCTGTCAACATCAGTTTATGCCCTGACCATGGCGTGGCAGCATTGGATGCGGTGTTCCAAAAGGCTTGTGGACTTATTTGGAATAATCTCTTTTTCCCCCTGTGGAATCAAGGAGAATATACAGGCAAAAGGATCCATTTTTTTGGTCTTAGCTCCATGGCCATTGTGTGACCTTGGGCAGGTCATTTGATGCTCAGTTTCCTAATATCCTAATAGAAATATTAATACCTATCTTGATTACTTCACAGGGAATTTAGGAGAAAAATTAAAATAATGGACAGGAAAGAACTTTGAAAGTTATAAACGACTGCACAGAGGATTATTATGATGACGAAGTTCATCATCAGCATTGTCACCACCGTCATCATCATCTTTACCACATCAGTACATTGATTCCAGCATATTTTCTGAGGTTTCCAAGCCTCAGAAAAGGTCATCTAAAGTAGAAAAGATGTCAGAGAATTTGAGCAGTTTTAGCAAAAGTGAAGATTTGGGAGATTCTCATGCATGGCTGGTGCCAGAATGAGTTAGCACAACCCTCTTGGAGTCATATTTGGCAATATCTAGTCAGATGGAAACTGTATCTCAGATAAATTGTTGCACATGTGCACTGAGGAGATATGCATGGGAGGGGGCGGGTTTTGCAGCATTGTTTGTGGTAGCAAGCATATATTTTGAAACAGCTTAAATAGTAAATAATTGGATAAAATGTTACATGAATAATGTCATTTATGTAAAAGTTTAAAATACAAAAACAGTAATATATATTATCTATAGATACATGTGTATGTAGAGGTGTAAATACACAAATGAGATTGATACATAAAAACCTCAGAGTACTAGTTGCCTCTGAAGGGCAGAAGGAGGGAGAATGAGACTGGGGAGTAGAAAAAAAAATAAATGAAACTATATGCATAATATTTTAACTTTTTCAATCAAAGAGAATCGCTGCAGTAAAAATGTCAACATACTTACATTTGTTCATTGCAAATGGTGGGTATTTGTTTTATAATTCTGTGTATTTCTCCACTTAAAAAGTTTGTTTCATAACTGCATAATCTTTAAAACTGAATAAATAAAATGCAACCTCAGAGTACATCTTAATTATAGTTGAATTTCGCATGCTTGCCTTTTTTAACGTATGCTTACCCTTTCTAACACTGAGAAGAATGACACAATATTTTGCCTCATTTGAGTGAAACATTTATGCCAATGGTTGTGCCAATTTCTGGTTAAATCTGCTGTGATACAAAAATGGTGTTTGTTGGGAGACCAGGACCTCAGAGCCCACCAGGAAAGACGTCTGACTGAAAACTGAGCAGGAAATGAGTTTATCTTGAATGTGTCCTGAATGTTGATTCTTCCCCTTCAGTCATGGCACCACCTTCTCTCCACCAACTGCTCAGGGGGTGGGAGGAAGGTGGTCACGCTCCGCCATCTTCCACTACTTCCTCTCACGTCCGCCCCTGAAGGAGTCTTTGTCCCTGATTCCGTCCTCCTATTGGAAGGTACATTGTGCTTTTCTCTTTGCCACTGAAGTATCCATCTGACAGAAACAAAGAGTTTCTGCAACTGGAAATTCCAAGTACTTTAAACAAACCAATGTCATTTACAGCAAGGCATTTTTTTTCTCTATTCTAGTAAGTTTGCCTACTTTGATTCCAATAAAAATAATAATAATAATGTCCCACTCCTCGTTCCATAGAAGAATGCTTTCTTCATTTCATGCCTTTTCAAGTTGGATGGAGATAAACAACTGATTTGTTTTAAAATATTCCCTGCTTTCCTGTAAGCTGAGGAAAAAAAAGCAACAGTCAGTTGCATTGCTTTAACATAACCTAGCATCGTCTGGTTTTCTTAAAGTTATTTATGTTTAAAGTTATTATGTTTAAAGTTATTAGATATTTGAAAGTAAAATATGAGTTAGAAAAATTAGCAATGAAAAGGGCTCGTGTAAGGATAATTATTCTTAGGAGTCTGAACTGTAGGTGTTCTCAGGCCTTACCAACTCCCATATGGACACTTGCTTTTTATTCCTTTCCTGTTTTTATTCCAGAAGAGAATGGAAGGGCTTCAGAGGAGCAGATATGGAACTATAGTTGAAGGTAAGAAAACCTCGAAGTTCTCAGGAGCTCCAGGCACGGGGGAATCACTATTCTCTCTCCACCTGTCTCTCACCTCAGACACAGGGACGGAAACCTAGTTATTTTAAATTGAAGGAAAAAAAGGCGACTGTCATTTATTCTTTACCTTCCCTGTTGTCATCACACCCGACTCACATGCCACATGCAGTGCGATGCTGCTCCCTGCAGACGATGTGTGGGAAATGTGGAAATGAAACTTCAAGTCAGAATTTGGAAGTTTTGAAACTGAATTGTGAAAATGATTTCTCTTTCCTTGTCTGCTCTCAGCTGAAAAAAACGAAAAATTCCCCCATAGAGATTTCGTAATAGTGTTTGCTACAAAACATCCCAGAATACTTAAGGAAAGGAAGAACCAACACAGAGTAGAAGGAATAAAATAATAGATTTTCAGAGCCTAAAATGAACTTAGAATTTGTTTGGGCTCATAGAAACTCTGGAAATCCTCAGGTCCTCACACTCTTCACCCCTTGAAGATCTTAGCTCTTGGCTCAGTAGTGCCCTCTCCAACGCCACTTTTTTTTATAATTTCCTGTAATTCAGTCAGCCAAATCGATGATCTTTCCAACACATGTGTGTTTACTGGTCTTATCTTCCATTCTTCTTCAGCCACCCATGCAGAGTCATCTCCCAGATTTTGTCCTTGACATTAACTCCGACCTTTCTGTCCTCTCAAATTCAAGCATCCAACTCCCCACCCAAAGAGCAGAGACCCAGGGAGGTTCAGCTGGCCCTTGGTGGGAGGTCACTATACCTCTGACGTCCGAGACGTCCTTTACCCCCAAGGTTCGGAGGCCTGTGTCGAGCACCTCTATACACGTGTCTGGGAATTTGTGAGTGAAAAAGAGGTGATAATATTGTCTCATTTGTGACTTCTCATTCTCTGCCTTCTTCTAATTTCACATTTATTTAGTGTGAAACTGGCCTAGGCACCATCCATGGAAAAGCACAGGGACCACTTGTTTTTCAAAAAAACTACTTTCCCTGGTCCAGATGAAGTGCTCAGAGCATCCTCCTTAGTGTAGCAGTTCTTACTCTTGGCTGTGGGTCCAAGTGTGGGCTTCCTATGTGGACTTCCTGTGATCCAATAACCTCCTAAAGTGGTATGCAAACTTTTGTGTGTGTTTAGATGTGACTGTTTTCCTGGGAGGGAGGTCCACAGCTTTTATGAGATACCGTGAGGGTCCGTTACCTAAAATTCGTAAGAATCACTAGCTTAGTGAGATACAAAAATTCTTTTTTCATAGGCGGAGAAGATAACCAGTTTGCAACATCGTCCTCATTGAGAATCGTCTTGGTGGGCAAAACAGGCAGTGGAAGGAGTGCCACAGGGAACAGCATCCTCTGCCAGCCAGTGTTTGAGTCCAGGCTGGGGGCCCAGTCCGTGACCAGGACGTGCCAGAAGGCAACAGGCACCTGGAACGGGAGGAACATCCTAGTGGTTGACACGCCCTCCATCTTTGAGGCAAACGCCCAGACCCAAGAGATATACAAGGACATTGGCGACTGCTACCTGCTCTTGGCCCCAGGGCCCCATGTGCTGCTGCTGGTCACCCAGCTGGGGCGCTTCACTGCCCAGGACACAGTGGCAGTGAGGAGGGTGAAGGAGATCTTTGGGGCAGGAGCCATGAGACACATGGTCGTCCTCTTCACCCACAAGGAGGACTTAGACGGTGGGTCCTTGGATGATTACATAGCAAACACGGACAACCACAGCCTAAGGATCCTGGTCCAGGAGTGCGGGGGGAGGTACTGTGCCTTCAACAACCGGGCCACCGGGGAGGAGCAGAAGGAGCAGCTGGCCCAGCTGATGGCCGTGGTCGAGAGGCTGGAGATGGAGCTTGAAGGCACCTTCCACAGCAACGACCTCTTCTTTGATGCACAGATGCTCCAGCGAGGGGGGGCCAGGGCATATGGAGGAGACCATGTGCGCTACCTGGCCAAGGTGCAGCTGCAGGTTGAAAAGCAAAGCCGAGACCTGAAAGAGAGTGAGAGTAACTGGGCGTTCAAGGCGCTCCTCAGAGCCAAAAACTGGATGATTTCTCACATGGGAATATCTGCTGTTCTTGTCATATGCCTTTTGATTTTTCTTGCTGTTTTAATTAACCTGTGTATTACTCATGGACACTGAGCATTTTCTGACGAGTTCTACAATCAGCTTTATTTTTTTCAGAGACACCATCTCTGTCTGTCTGTGTGGTACTTTATTTGCTTTTTACATAATTTCACTTTCATTTTCTCCTCCTTGCATCAGACATGTCATCCATTTTCTCTAAGTGCTTTCAGGTAAATAAAATCCAAAGGAAAAAAATGTTTTTCTTTTTTGTTTTGATAAAAATTGTGAGGGTAAATACTAAACCAACTGGATCCTGTCGTGACTGTGTGGGGGCTTGCAGGAGGAGGGGGAGCGGGCGGTGACCCCTTGTGAGCGCCTTGCCTCTGGGCCTGCTTTGTCTGGGAGTGCTGCTGAGGGACAAACAGGTTGTATTAAAAGCTGGTAGCAGAATTCCTTATTTTACTCAGAAACGTACTGAGATTTCATCCTAAGTTGTAGAAGATGACACCCAATCCCCATGAGAGAGAATCATGAGGACATTCTGGGAGGAATTCTGGAGGAGTGAAGAGGCTGGGAAGAAGGGCTGGAGGTGACCTGGATTGAGGGGGAAGCAGAGAAAAGGAGTCACAGCAGCAGGATGGGGCCAGGCTCGAGGGGAAGCCGAGTCAGTGGCAGGAAAGAAAGGACTGGAATTTCTCAGAGCAGGGCGAGCCAAGGGCCGGAGAGTGGGTCTTCTAGGCTCAGCAGACTATATGGTCTCAGTCGCAGCTACTCAACTCTACCCTGGTCGTGCAAACGCCGCCGTGGACAAGACGGAGGTGATGTGCGGGCCGCATTCCCGTAAAGCTCTATGAACTGAGATTTGAATTTCATGTAACTTTCCTATGTGGCAGTGAAGCATCATTCTCCTCTGATTTCTTCATTTACAAATGTAAAAGCCTTCTTAGCCCACAGGCTGTCCAAACAAGCAGCAGGCCAGGTTTGGTCCAAGGACTGCAGTGTGCAGACCCCTGTGGTAGAGTGGACGTCCCAGTGTTGGTGCAGCTGCGTTGTAACGCAGCATCTTTAGCCCTGAACACGGTGCAATCCAGTGCAATCATGTGCCGTCTGTGGGAATTTTGGGAAAGGGTGGTGGTCCACATTTCAACGGCAGTGAAGAGAAGAGGACAGACACTGGAGTGAAATCCCAGCAAAGGCGTGAATTCAGTGAAAGCAGGAAATCAGATGAGGAGGTCCCTGTGTGGCCCTTCCCCCACCCTCTCCTTCTTTTTGGAAGCTGCCCCCCTTCTCTGCTCCTTTGTACCCTGTAAGGGAGAACTGCAGTCGTCCCAGGCAGCCTGTGGCTAGATGGGTAAGTGATTAATTGTGGAGTGGGTCTTAGGAACTCGACTGTGACACCCAAGTGTCATTCTCCAAACCTTCACTGGTGTGAAAGGTGCCATGTTGATCTCGACAGTTCTCTCACAGGATTGATTCCAAACACGAGCAGGAGTGTTAGTGTAAACTCCTCAGACCCGTGAAACCCTGAGGAACTCTGAGTTCTCAGACCGAGGACCACTCCTCAATGCAGTATTCCCAAAGTGTCCAACCTTACTTGGTCTCTGCCTTCCTCAGCTTAATTCAGTCCAGATCCACAGACGTTTATTTCGTGAGTACTGATTGTCAGGTTCTGCTCGTGGCACCACGAATGTAAGAGAAATAGTACAAGCTTCCCACTCCACAAAAGTGGCTGTGTGGTAGAGGGATGAAGGCATACAAAAAATGGGGTGTAAGAGAAATTTGTTTGGAAGTAGAGTGTCAGCCAAAAGGAGAGCACGAGGCTCAGCAGAGGCTCCTAGACGGGGTGTTGCTTGAGCCGTCTCAACACGCTGGCCCCTCCAGAGTTATTCCAGGCTGAGGGAGGCCATGCGGTGGGGGGGGGTGAGAATCAGCATGTGGGAGGAGGATGTAGGGTTAGATGGGGCTGGGCGAGGGGCCTGTGCGGCACACTCGGCTCAAGGGCTATCTTATAGAGAACAGGAAGTCACCGGAGGCTTTTAAGCGGTTAGTATATTTTAAGAAGGTCCAGTGGTGGCAATGTGGCAGTTGGATTATGTAAATGCAAGCTTGGGGACAGGATAATATTTAGAAGAAAAAAATTCCATCCCTACTTTCAGGGCCTGAGCTATAACAATAGGAATGGAGATGGAGAGGAAAGGACACACGGAGACACTGAGGAGGTGGAATCGACATAATGTGGTCACTGGCAGCAATATTGGGGAGGGAACCAGGTTTTGTCTTGGGCCCCCATGTGACATGTGGCCTGGGCCTTCACTGCCCTAGGCCTTCAGAGGGAGAGTGGGCTGAGCAGAAAGAGGGGAAGAGTTTGGATCCGGACTGGCCGGCCTTGAAGCCCTCTGGGGCACCTGCCCAGTCGTCCAGGAGACAATGGGTGATTGAGCTCATCCTCCCTCCAGGGAAGGCATCCGGACCAGGCGTGAACTTGGCCCCAGAAAGTCTCCGGGAGCAGGAGGAGGAAGGCCTCCCTCCAGGTGTGTGGACCGTCCCTTCCCAGGCCTCCCAGGTGGGATATGGTGCACCAACAGGGCGTCTCTTTCTTCAGGGCAGTGTTGCTGGTGATCCAGATGACATTCCATCTGTGCCGACTTCTAGGGGCAATCCCAAGGAGAGTTAACCTGGGGATGTTTTACAGTAAACAAGGAGAGAGGGGTTTGTCAACCCTCTACTCACACATGGATTTTCGCCAAAGTATTCCTTGGAAGTGTTTAAATGTGAACTCTGTATCTCCCCCAAATGGTGAAGGAAGCACAGAGAAGACCTGCCGAGAGGCACTCCCATTTCCTCCCCCTCTCCCATTGTCACTCTCCAAAATAATCCAACTAAAAGGGGTTTTCACTTCTTTCGGGATTCAGTGAATGTCGACTATGGAGCAGGCACTTCAGTAGTAGAGGGAGGTCCTTCCTGATTCTAGGAACAAAAGAGAAATCTATTCATTTATTCTCCATGCCACTTCCTCAGAGGATGCATGAGAACAGGGAAGTTCTGATAGATTTAAGGATTTTTTTAAAAAAGGAATATGGAGAACTCTTCATTAGTTCAAACGCTTTCAAATGCAGGTAAAAGAGACCCCAAACTCAAATAGCTTAAACAATAAGGGAATTTATTGGCTGGCATAATTGGAAATTCAGAAATAGTGTAGGCTCCAGGGCTGGTTGATTCAGGGGCTTAGGTTTGTTCTATCTCTGCTCTGCTTTGAAGTGTTGCCTTCAACCTTGGGCTGGTAGCAAGAGGGCTGCTAGAGTTTCGAGCATCACATTCAGACCCAACAGCGCCCAGAGGAAGAAGAGAGACTGTTTCTGTCTGTGGGTCTCTTCTGAGAAGGGAGAAACTTTCTGGCCCCACCTCTGAAGACTTTTACTCACTTCTCATTGGCCTGAATTGGGTCTCGGGCCCAACCCTGAACTAGCCATCGGCAAAGAGAATGGGATTAGGTACAGAGCAGCCAGGCGTCCCTGCTGTCATCTTCTTCTGAGGCGCACGGCTCCATGGGGGAGAGGAGGAGGCTGAACCAAACCAGAAGTCCATAAGGAAGGAGGGGAACGGGAGCAGCAGAGAGAACAAACTGTGTCCTCCACGGACCATGACCAATTTCAGAATTGGTGACACGGGGCCGGCCCTGTGGCTTGGTGGTTAAGTGCGCACGCTGCGATGCTGGTGGCCCGGGTTCGGATCCCAGGTGCGCATCGAGGCACCACTTCTCCGTTCATCCTGAGGCCGAGTCCCACATACAGCAACTAGAAGGATGTGCAGCTACGACACACAGCTATCCACTGGGGCTTTGGGGGGAAAAATAAAATAAATAAAATCTTTAAAAAAAAAAAAGAATTGGTGACACGTAGAACAATGAGTCCCATGAGGGGATCCTTTAGAAAATGCTCTGACATACAGATGACATACAGAATTAATGATGGTACAAGATGACCAGAAAAATAAGAAGAAAAAGTAAGCTGCACCAAACAAGAAAAACACAAAACTCATGATGCGAAATCATCCAGTTTTTGGCTCTAAGGAACACCTTGAATGCCCAGTTGCTCTCGCTCTCTTTCAGGTCTCGCCTTTGCTTTTCAACCTGCAGCTGCACCTTGGCCAGGTAGCGCCCGTGGTCTCCTCCACACGCCCTGGCCCCCCCTTGCTGGAGCATCTGTGCATCAGAGAAGAGGTCATTGCTGTGGAAGGCGCCCTCATGCTCCATCTCCAGCCTCTCGACCATGGCCATCAGCTGGGCCAGCTGCTCCTCCTGCTCCTCCCCGGTGGCCCGGTTGTTGAAGGCACAGTACCTGTCCCCGCACTCCTGGACCAGGATCCTTAGGCTGTGGTTGTCCGTGTTTGCTATGTAATCATCCAAGGACTCACCATCTAAGTCCTCCTTGTGGGTGAAGAGGATGACCATGTGTCTCATGGCTCCTGCCCCAAAGATCTCCTTCACCCTCCTCACTGCCACTGTGTCCTGGGCAGTGAAGCGCCCCAGCTGGGTGACCAGCAGCAGCACATGGGGCCCTGGGGCCAAGAGCAGGTAGCAGTCGCCAATGTCCTTGTACGTCTCTTGGGTCTGGGCGTTTGCCTCAAAGATGGAGGGCGTGTCAACCACTAGGATGTTCCTCCCATTCCATGTGCCTATCTCCTTCCGGCACGTCCTGGTCACGGACTGGGCCCCCAGCCTGGACTCAAACACTGGCTGGCAGAGGATGCTATTCCCTGTGGCACTCTTTCCGCTGCCTGTTTTGCCCACCAGGACGATCCTCAACAGAGATGATCCTGGAGTTAAGCTCTCTTCTCCTCCACCTGTTAGAGCACATGAAAAGTTAATGTGTAATTGCTATGGGCTGAATGTTTGTGTCCCCCAAAATTCATATGTTGGAATCCTAATCCCTAGTGTGATGGCCTGGAGTTGAGGCTTTCAGGAGGTGACTTGGTTTAGATGAGGTCATGAGGGTAGCGCCCCTATCATGGGATTAGCGGCCTTATAAAAAGAGGAAGGGATTAGAGCACTCTCTCCACCATGTGAGGACACAGCAATCAAGAAGTGGACTCTCACCAGACACTGAATCTACCAGCACCTTGATCTTTGACCTTGCAGCCTTTAGAATGATAAGATATAAATATTTGTTGTGTACCACCCAGTCTATGCTATTTTGTTTTAGCAGCCTGAACTAAGACAGTAATAAATGCCTTTTGAGGATGAGGAGAATGAAAGACAAAAAGGAAAAGACCCAGAAGAAATGGCATTGATGATCAATTAGGCATCACACCTTCTCTTCCCATCACCAGGCTGTGCTCAGAGCAAACACCAGACTCCTTATGTAGAGAATGAAGAGAACCCACAGAGGGTTGGTGGAATAAACCATCCCAGATGGCCAGAATCCTTGGGTTCTTTCCTTTTGGGATGCCAACTTTTGCCACCCTTTTCAGAACCTTCCCTCTATTTGGTTCCCACCCTGAAGACCTCAAGCTACTCTTTGATGCTCAGAGATTCCTACAACCACTGAGCTGTTTGTCCTCCACTTTCTACTCCTCCCATCCCTGCCTGGTCTCTGTTTTACAAAATGACAGGGTTTTATCTGGAAAAACTTACCCTCACTAAGGACAGTATGACAGCAAATAGCCTAATATGTAATATTTCCTGGGGAAAATCACTTTCTTTGTCTTGGGGTGACTCTAGTCTTGTACCTTTCACTGCAAGGTGGGAAGTTTGCTTCCCCAGTGCTGAGTTCGTGGCCCCCAAGTGTTGTGAAGAGCTCCACTAGATCCTTACCTGTGGTGGCAGCGTCTTTTCCACCCTTCTGAAGCCTTTCCATTGTGTTCTAGAGGGGAAAAGATGCAGGGATTGTTCATACTGGAGTTGGATGTGACATCTGACACAAAACACCACATTTTATAGATGAGGAAATTGAGGGGAGAAAAAATGACTACTGAAGGTCACACGTAATTTAATGGGTGAGCCAAGACTAAAACCCAGGTCTGCTGACCCTCAGCCGTTCTTGGCACTAGATCGCGCTTCCTCCTGAAGAGTGTATAGACAGCACCAACATGCGAGCACATGCATGTGATTTCCTATGACCTGTACTTAGCTCATAGGAGGCACTGAAAATGTGCCGTCTGCCCAGAAGACCAAACAAAGAAGTTGGTCCTTTCCTACTGATCTCCTGGCTCTTGAGCTCTTGTCTACCTAGGGTCTCCGTCCTGGCACCCCAAACTCAAGTTTTCCCGGCAAAGTATCCCCCTTTGGTAAACTCAAAAAGAAATTCCTTCCTCAGCCTCCACGGTGGTGGTGCTATGGAGGGTGACCAATCATCCCGGTTTGTCCAGGCCTGAGAGGATTCCCTGATCAAAGGACCTTCAGTGTTGAAACTGGGGAGGTCCCAGGCAAACCAAGGTGAGCTGATCATGCCAGGAGCAGGAGAGTGTCATGAGCCCAGGCACAGTGGAGTGGGGTGTGCATACAGCAAACAGAGGGAAGTCCCGATTTGTTAGGCTCATACCAACTGTTACACTATGGAAGATCCACCTTCCATGTTCTTAGCTCAGGTAGTGTTGGGCCAGTAGCCACCTCAGAGGCATATCTCTCCTGCCCACTCACCTTCTTGCATTGTCTTCCATATACCTTTCTCTTGATCCTTCTCTTTCTTCCTACCTCCTACTTCCTGTTCTCAGGGAGGGGGTCCACTCAGGTCCCACCCAAGAATGACTTCTCAGCCTTCACTCCTGGGAAAACCTACACAATCCTTTCCAAAGCTACATCAAGACCTTGCTGTGTGCAAAGTTTCAGGGTATTTTCCTTGTAACGAGTTCAAGGAGTTAATGCTAAGGAATGAATCCTCAATTGTGGAATTTCAGGGTCTATGACAGGTGAACTGAAAAAAAAATACTTTGCAGGAAAAGTGGATTTTCCTAGTGCTCCTTGGGATCACGCCATATAGGATATGATCTAGGCCCTCCACATGCAAAACCAGCCACAGTGATTACCTTGGCAGGAAAAATAACTTAATAAATATAAACAACCTGGGGATCATTTTAATTTTTTTGTGTGTGTGTGAGGAAGATCAGCCCTGAGCTAACTTCCATGCTAATCCTCCTCTTTTTGCTGAGGAAGACTGGCTCTGAGCTAACATCTATTGCCAATCCTCCTCCTTTTTTTTCCCCAAAGCCCCAGTAGATAGTTGTATGTCATAGCTGCACATCCTTCTAGTTGCTGTATGTGGGACGCCGCCTTAGCATGGCCGGAGAAGCGGTGCGTCGGTGCGCGCCCAGGATCCGAACCCGGGCCGCCAGTAGTGGAGCGCACGCACTTAACCGCTAAGCCATGGGGCTGGCCCGGAATCATTTTAATTTAAGTACTAAACGTCAAAACCCAGCTTCTGTCAGACAGTCCCCCAGTAATATCTTTGTTACTTAGTCTAATGGTATTTTAGAGCCAAAAGAGAAATGGTAGCAACTTTCCACCCCTTGGAATCTCTATCTTTGGCCAGGTCCCATGGAAACTAGTCTACTCTGGTTTGTTAAGTCTGTCCCAGCATTTGTACTATTCAGATAAGAGTTATCCAGACCAAGGAACCACGGTACTGATTATTCAACTCAGTCCTGCGTTTACATCCAAGCAAATGTGGGCCTATTGGATGGAAACTCGCCCCTGAGCATTTTCTGTCATTCTGCCATCCATGAGGGGGCCTTTCAAATAGTGTGTGATGGTTGGTCTTAGGTGTCAGGTTGGATAGACCATAGTACCCAGTGATTTAATCAAATACTAATCTAGGTGTTGCTGTCAGAGTATTTTGTAGATGTGGTCAAGTAAAGATTGCCCTCCAGGATGTGGGTGGGCCTCATCCAATCAGTTGAAGGCCTTAAGAACAAAAACTGAGGTTTCCAAGAGAAGAAGAAATTCTGTCTCAAGACTTCAATATCGACTCCTGCCTGAGTTTCCAACTGCTGGCCTGCCCTGCAGATTCTAGACTTATCACCCCCCACAATCGCAGGAGGCAGTTCCTTCAAATAAATTTCTTCATATATATATTCTGATGGTTCTATTTCTCTGGAGAAACCTGACTGATACATCAATCTAGCTAATTCTCTCTATTGAAACCCAGAGAAAGAGCAAACTTGAACATAATTTTCCTCTTTGGCAGGTTCTTTTCAAGGACGAGGCCGATGGGGAGGAGTTTTTTAAAGATGTGATTGCATAGAGATTGGTAAATGGGGAAACGTGCTTTTTAGAGATCAGCTTGTTGTCAATGCTGATGATTTTGAAACCGAGACGCTCTGTTTTCCCACGAACCGTCCATGGATCATCTTGAATGGTGGTCTCCAGAGAGGGCTAGCAAGGAGGGGCTGCCGAGCATCAGAGGGAAGCGCACAGGTAGCAAGTAAGTGACAAGAGTGGTGAGTGTTGAGGGGCAGAGAAGGTGATGCTGAAACAGCTGCAGAAAGGGGGCCGGCGGAGGACTGCAGCTGCTGTGCCTAGACTCGCAGAGACAGCAGTGACCTCAGAGACCAGGTGGCACGCTCCACTGCTTTGAAAAGTGAGGAAACTGAGACTGCGGGGTGGGGGTTGCAGGGGCGGGGCGGGGTACGTAATACAGCAATGACACGAAGCTGCCCGCACCCAGGGCTGTGGGATGAAAGGATATCAAAGAGAGAGGGCAACCCCTTCCCGCTGTTTCCCGACCAAGCAGGAGCTCAGACAGGACCAGAATGTGCTGCCCCGCGTGCTGGGAGGGGCGGTCCTCAGTCCTGCAGGAACGGTCAAACAGTGCTACTCACGTGGTGTGTTTGGCCAAGCGACTGGTAGCAGGCCATTTCTTCCAAGAATGAGAGGCTTAAATTGCTGCTCTCTCAGAATCCAGCCTGAGCAGAAAGAGAAGTGAAAAAGGGGCTCCTTCTCAAGAACCGTCTAGGTTTTTCTCATGTTTCTCCATTATTTCTTGAGGATTTTTCCCTCTGCAGTCACCGTGCCGCCTTTCTAGTGCAAACTGCCACACCTCAGCCAATGGCCCCCAGGGTGCCCAGGGGCATCCCCTTCCCTGCTCTGTCCCTTGCAGATCACTGTGCCCTTGCCGCCACATCTGTCCCCTCAGACATCACCATCATTGTGCTTCCCCCGCCCACCAGCCTATTCCCAGCTGGACATCAGTCCACCTCCCTCGTTTTATATCCATCGATCCTTCCATTCATTCATTTAAATATGTTACTAAATACCTCTATTGCCAGACATCTCTCTCCCTACACTTAGAGGACAGTTGGACCAGTTTAAAGAACAGCTCCTGCCGCAGACTGGAAAAGCATCATCTCTGAGCTGATGAGAGTGGAAGCACGATTCCCTCCACCCCGCTTGCACAGCCCTATTTCCTGCACCGTCTCCACCGCGCAGGACTGAAAGAAGCCTGTGGGGATGGGAAAGGTAGAGACACCCTTGGGAAAATGGTGAAACAGTCTGGAACTTGGGCAGGTTATCCTACTCTCATTTGCCAAAAGTAATGATACCATCCTCCCTACCTCCCCCACTGGAGTGTTTTGGAGATGGATGGCACGCTGGTTAGGAAATGTTAACAAGGAGAAAGTGTCACTGTCAAGGGTATGAGGCTGGGTAATCCTCCAGGAATAAAGGCCCTGCTGTTTATAACTCCATTCTGGCTAACTGCGGGGGGTGGGGGGGAGTGGGGTTAAAGAATGTTTTTAAATAATAAATTGTATTTCTTTTTCAGAAAAAAAGCAGGTGTTTTACCCAAACAGATAAACTTGAGTCCTACTCTGAAATCTTTCTCCTTTCTTTAAAATGGGAACTGTTTCCACCAAGTTGAGTGGTGTATTTTAAAAAAACAAGCAATGGAAATGAAGTAAGATGAAAATCGAAAGATGAGCTTTCAGCCTGTTCTTCAAAGGGCATCCTGTGACTTCTGGGGGTGGGTGGGTGGGGGATTCAGGCCATCCTCCCTTGTCCAGCAGTATGTGAGCACCCATACGTGCACCCAGAAATGGGTGCAGTAGCTGCTCTGTGCACAGGTGAAAACACTTTTGCACAAACACGAGAAATAAGCTCACTAGTATCACCAGAGGGCTGCAGTCTGAGCTCATTCTGTCCAAACTTTAGGTTCTGAAATATAGAGTATCAGCAATTTTTCAGCTTGCACTTATTTGGGGTCTTGGGGTATATAATTCTTGACCATAATTATTCAGGAATAGAGAAACTGAGGCTTAGGAAGATCAGGTGTCCAGATTGACAAAGACTGTTACTGGTAGACCTGGGATGAGAGAAAGTGAGAGAGAAAGAAAGAAAACAAAACAAGCCGGGGTACCTGTGAGGTCCTGGAATATCTTGCAAGTTCTGCAGCCAGTCTTGGAGCAACCCTCCCTCCTCTCCTACGCAGCCTCTCTCATTGGTTTCTAGTCTCTTCAAAAAAACACGGGAGCAGTGAGAGATGAAAAAACTGGCCACAAATTCTATCTGCCAGAGAGGGAACTGTGTCCCGGAAACAGAAAAAGAACAATGTGGGTGTTTCCTCGAAAAGCCATCCTCAGAGCTGACCTAGAAGCCCTCAGAGATGCCAGAGGAAGAGGTTTTATCGTTTTGTTTTGTTTTTAATAACGGTTCTTTTTCCTTCTCCCCACCACATCTCTGTAATGCTTGTGTGCAAAACATATTCCCTGCCAGAGCTAGTCCGGAGAATGGAGAGCCGGAGAAGCCAAGGAAGTTCTGGGGTGCAGCTGCATCCTGAACCTAGCCCTCCGCAGCCTTCACCAGCCCAAATTGGACCAACGTACCTCCCCAGTCCACCATTTCCTCTCCGACATAAAGGTGGTTTCTTATAGCTAATTCCAGATGGCAGCAGGGACGGAACTGAAGACAGGCACCTTGCTTGAGACGTTCTGTGGCTCTGACCTCCCTCTTCTTTCTCTGTCAAATGCCCTGCCATCGGGTTCCCTGTGCTTTGACCTGAGGGAGAAACAAGATTTAGTAGGTTCCTTCACCAAGATGCATTGCATTCTGTGGACTTGCATTTCCACAGAAGCCAGGGAGACATCCACCCCACCCATGGTCTGATTTAGGCAAAGTGACAAGCTCTTAAGGGAGTGGGGGCTGCCCTGGGCCCCTCACACTGCTCTGCTTGATGCTCCTCCTCTGCATCCGTGCACTGGCCCTGCTGGGGGCCTCTGTGTGGCGGGGGCTGAAGCCCTTCTCTGGAGACATTCTTAGGGTGAATGGGGCAGAGTTTGATCTGCTACTTGCACATTTGAGTTCAGATTAATATCAACAAACAGCTATAAGCAGAAAAACGAGATACGAGTGACTCTTGGATCCTTGCTCAGTTTGAAGAGGAGGGCAGTCACAATGCTGATAACAGGCACAATTCACATTTTGCAATGAAAGCTGTGCTTCACTTACAAAATATTAATATTCCCATATTGGTGCTATAATTTTAACTTTCCAAATAATAATAGCTGTTACACTGAATGAGGTGGATGCCTGCCTTCCTGCTGTAGAGGACAGAAAGGCATGCTTTTAACATGTAGAAGACATGATGTATTTTCTTTTTGTTGGCTAGAAATGCCTCTGATATCTCGTTTTTGCCAGGAAAAGAAAAAAAAGAAGGCTAAAGATCAACTCCTCTAAAACAAAAATAATTATTTTGGGTAGACATTTATCAGCTCTAAACTGGCTTATCGTGAATATTTTTATGCCTGAAGTTAATTCATTGAGCCATCTCAGCATATATTTTGTAAATACTTGATACACAAGAAAGGGACATTACCCAAAGGTACCAAATCCATGTGGGCCTTGTGAGTTTTTCATAGTTGAGGTAAACATGTATTTTTACGTGCCTTAAGCTACCCAGGCCAATACTCCTGTGTCCACATCACAGAGAGAAGACTATGGATCTTGATCAGCTACTTTCCACGCATTAGAGAAAATGCAAATTTATCATTGAAAACAGCATCTTGATCCTGTCTTCAGACATTCCCTCAGCTACTATGTACACTGCGATGGGAGGCCTTCTCTTTGGAACAATGGTATGCCTTTTCCTCTAAGCTGCCTGTCATATTCTTCATTGATTTTTTTCTGTTAAATTATATGTATTTTCCTTGTTGATTCAAGAAAGGCCTTTATTTATGATTCAAGAAAGCAAAATATTACCTGGTATATTACACCTGTTAACAATCCTTTTCTCCCCCTTTCCTTTCCATACTCAGAGTTCTATGGCTATTCAGGCCTCCTCTTTTCTTTCAGCGTTAACTCGTGGAATTCTAGTGATGGCTCTTCAAACTATAGGTGCTTCTAATTGCTAGTGAAAGAAATATGAGCAATAAAGAAGGGTAAAAATTTTTCCTTTTCCCCACAGCTACAGAGAAAAAAAGCAAATAATATTCCTACAAAGGAGTCTGTGAGATATCCAGTGCTTGAAAATTGTAGCTCTGCCCTGTGAAAATAACCCTTCATCTCTAAAAGTCTGTGGAATTATGGTTCTTTTATTTAATAATGTGTTTCCCTATTGTGAGATGTAAATTGAAATCTAGTAATTCCTAACAGGTCTAAATACTTATAAGATTTCTTAGACAACTCCAGAGGAGATCGCTGATATTTTCCTCTTCTATCACAGGCATGCAGGAATAAAATAAAGTAAAACAAAATAAAATAGTCAAAGAGTTCGAGAATCTTTTCTCATTTAAATTCACAGTATGCTAAGTAAAACAGAACTGTCCACTGTTGTCAATGTCTTGCCTATACCACCCCCTGCTGTTTGTCTCTTAAGTTAGTTATCGTAAGTACTTTGCTCAGTCTGAAAATTTTAACAAATGTTTTCTTTATGGCTTCTGTCATTCTTAGAAAACCCTCCTTTATCACCTCTTTATTTAAAAATATATTACTTATGTCTACACAAAAATCTGCACACGAATGTTTATAGCAGCTTTATCCATAATTGCCAAAACTTGGAAGCAACCAAGATGTTTTTCAATAGGTGAATGGATTTAAAAAACTGTGGTACCTCCAGATAATGAAATTTTATTCAGCGCTAAAAATAAATGGGCTCTCAAGCCATGAAAAGACATGGAAGAAACTTAAATGCATATTACTAAGTGAAAGATGCCAATCTGAAAAGGCTACATACTGTATGATTCCAACCCTGTGACCTTTTGGAAAAGGCAAAACTATGGAGACAGTAAAAGATCAGTGGTCACCAGGGGTTGTGGGGGGATGAATAAGTGGAACACAGAGGATTTTTAGGGCAGTGAAATTATTCTATATGATATTGTAATGGTGGATGCATGTCACTATACATTTGTCAAAACCCATAGAATGTACAACATCAAGAGTGAACCCTCATGCAAACTGTGAACTTTAATTAATAATATTATATCAATATTGGCTCATCAATTGCAACAAATGTATCACACTAATGCAACATATGAATTTGGGGGAAGACAAGTATTCAGACCATAGCAAGCGTTAAATGCATATTTCAAAAATAAGAAAGTTCTCACAAAAGTAATTTTTGCATCCACCTTAAGAAACTTAGAGAAAGAAGAAACTTAGAGAAAGAAGAGCAAAGCAAACCCAAAGCAAGTAGAAAGGTCAAAAAATGATAAAGATGAGAGCAGAAATCATGAAATTAAAAACAGAAGAAACAATAGAGAAAAATCAGTGAACCCAAAAGCTGATTCTTTGAAAAGACCAGTAAAATTAGTAAACCTTTAAAAAATATTTACCAAGGAAAAAAAGAACACAAACTACCAATATCACCAATAAAAGAGGACACATCACTACTGATCCCACAGAAATTACATAGCCATTAGGGAAATGCTGTGAACAACTCTATACCCATAGACTTGACACTTTATGTAAAATTGTCTTTCAATAGTCTTTCAATTCCTTGTAGACACAAACTACCAAAACTCACTCAAGGAGAAACAGATAGCCTAAACCTTCCTATATCTCTCAAGGAAATTAAATTTATACTTTAAAACCTTCCAAAAAAGGAAACTCCAGACCCAGATTATTTCATTGTCTAATTCTGTCAAATATTTAAGGAAAAAAATAATATCAGCTCTACATAACCCCTTCTGAAAGTAGAAAAGGGGGGAACATTTCCCAACTCATTTTATGGGGCCAGCATTAACACCAAAATCAGAGAAAGACATCACAAGAAAAGAAAGTTCTCATGTATTCCTCTTAAACATAGATGCAAAAATCCTCAACAAAATCTCAGCAGATGAAATACAGCAATATATATAAAGAGTAATACCCACAAGTGTGTTTCATCACAGAAATGCAAGGCTGACTCAACATTCAAAAATCAATCTGGGGCCAGCCCACAAGCGGTTAAGTGTGCATGCTCCACTGCGGCGGCCTGGGGTTCGCAGGTTTGGATCCCGGGTGCGCACCTACGCACCGCTTGTCAAGCCATGCTGTGGCGGCGTCCCATATAAAGTAGAGGAAGATGGGCACAGATGTTAGCCCAGGGCCAATCTTCCTCAGCACAAAAAAAGAGGAGGATTGGCAAGGGATGTTAGTTCAGGGCTGATCTTCCTCACAAAAAAAAAAAATCAATCAGTGCAACTCATCATGTGTATAGACTAATGAAGAAAAACCATATGATCACCTCAATACATGCAGAAAAGCATTTGACAAAATTCAAGAACCATTATAAAATTCTCTGAAACTAAGAATAGAAAGGAGGGGCAGGCCCAGTGGCATAGTGGTTACGTTCGGCATGCTCCGCTCCCGGGCGCAGACCTACACACTGCTCATCAAGCCATGCTGTGGTGGCGCCCCATATACAACATAGAGGAAGATGGGCACAGATGTTAGCTCATGGACAATCTTCCTCACCTAAATAAATAAATAAATAAATAAGAATAGAAAGAAACTTCTATGATCTGATAAAGGGTATCTACCAAAAAATATATATATATGTGGTGAAACTCTGAATGATTTTGCCCTAAGATGGAAACCTTAGCAATTCTGAAACTACAGTATCCTAAGGTTCCACCAATCAGCAAATATATTGTAGCTAATGAGAGCTAAGTTTCTCACTGTCAGAGAAAGAAATGATAAATAAGCAAAGAAAGAATGCTAGAATAAACCCTGGTGCTGGACTGGAGTCAGAAATACCAGCACGAATTCATGGTTGTGATCATTTAATAGATAAAGAAGCAAACATATACGGGTGCATATGTGCGTCAGTAACACATACATGGATATCCCAGCTGTCGGCTGAGAGAGACTATAAGCAGTGACACTCCAGGAGCAAGGAGAACACCCAGCACACAGACCTTGGTTTCTAAATGCCATTCTCCAATAAAAAGGAACCAGGACTACTTAGAGAACTGGCTGATTCCAGGGTTGGGAGAGGAGAAACACAAGATGAGCCTGGAGCATCTTATAGTGCCATCAAGTAAGGAAGTGCAAAAAAGGGGGCAGTTGGGGGCATATCAAAAGGACACGAGGCAACCTGAAAGAGCTCCCAATGGCCAAAGCTTTCTTTTTATAAAGATAATCCAGCTAATAAACACAGACGGAATGATAAAATTAAACTATCATCATTTTCCAACCCCCAATAAATTAA